ATACAACCTGAACAACCAGACACAGCAGCCCTGGAAAAGGGGAGAGGGTGGCTGGCTGGCTGGTTCCTGCTACCTGACAGTGAACCGCACCCCCCACCCCCATTAAGTATTCTCTGACTCAGCTCTGCCTACCTCAAATCCAGGACAGCACCAACACAACAGATCCGGAGTAATGGCACGTACCCAATAGTGAACCATGGTTAACAACGGGGGAGCTGGTTACTTAAGGCCACTGGGACATAAGCCATCAGCTTCTGTGTGCCAGCTTCCCCTTGTGTGTGTGTGGTGCAAGAGATTGATTCTTGGGTCTGGTCCAGTGTGAGGCAAACCGCAGGACACCCCAGGCCTGGGGATGGGGATGAGGGAAGTGGCAGCATCAGGAGGCAGCCAGAGTCCAGCTCCCCGCTCCGCACACCCCTCTCCCCACCCCCCAGCCTCGCCCCTGCATCCCAGCTCCAGCAGACAGAGCTGCCAGTCCTAGAGCTGGGCCCCCGAGGGCTTAGGAGCCCAGGGGAGCCCTTAGCTGAGATTTATAGCTTAGGGAGAGTTGCTGTGTGTGTGTGGAGGGGAGAGGGAGGAGGAGAAGGAAGAGACTGGGAGGGGGAGGGGAGGGAGGGGGCATCAGCTCCTGGCAGGAAATCCACCACGGAGCCCCCTGAGCTGGGCAGGACAGCAGAGGAGTGCGGCAGGCCTGCACTGGTGCCCCACAAGCAGACAGACTTGGGACAGAGCCGAGGCTTCTCCACGGGTCTCATCCATAAAGGGCAAGTCATACTGCTCAGCCCAGGGAGCCATGAGAACCCCACGAAGCCTGGCATGGGCCCCTGGCAAAGGGAGAAGTGGATCACAGCTTCCAACAGATGTGTCTTCCATCTCCCAAGGATGCGGAGGCGTGTTACCAGGGACACAAGTCCACATTTGTCCTGTTGACGGTATACAGACCCACAGGATGATTTCCCTCAGAGCTCAGAGCTGGAAGGAGCGTTCTTCAGACCTGTTTCCTTTTATCGGAAAGTCAGCGCCAAGACACCCATGCTGTTCCGCTTTTTGCCTTGACTACCGGGAAGCTCAGAACTCACTTTTCCATTCAGATATCACAGGCCCCCGTGGCCTCGGTGCCCAGTGTGGTTATTCTCTCCGGCTCCCTCTTCAACTATTATTCGGCCCTAAGTTTTCACTCTTCTGTAATACAGAGTCTTTCTATTGTATCTTTGTCTTTTATTTTAGGTCTCGCGAGCTCCTTCCTGGAAGCAGAGAGGAACACATGTGGCATGCACAGGGTGGGGGGCATGGATCACAAGGGAACAGACGCGAGGACCCTCATGCCAGGGGCAAGGAAAACTGATTTCAGAGTCAGAGCCCTACAGACTGGGACTCAAATCCTGAATCTAGCAGTTTGGGTCTGTGGGAGCCTCCATTTTCTCAGCCACAAAATGGGCATAAACCCCCCTCCCTCACAGGGTGGACAGTGAAGAAGTTCGGAGACACAGCCCCGGCCTGGAGCCGCAGGTGCAGCTCTGTGTCCTGCCCGACTCCAGCAACAGGAAGGTTGATGCTGTCCCCCGACTTTCACCAGTGAAGAATTTAACAACAGAAATAATCATAGTTTACCCAGCGAGGGGGCTCTGCGCTTGATGACTCACTGAATTGCCTCCTTTAAGTGTCCCCATTTTACAGATAAGAACGCTGAGGCCCCAGGAGCTAAACTTGCCTGAGGCCATACAGAGAGCAAAGGGCAGGCTGCTGGAGCCGACCCTGATCCACCGTGTCACTGCTCCCAAGGATGGCTGGCAGGCACAGCAGACCAGAGGGCAAACGCTGGGAGGCAGGACTGACGGGCTGCTCAGAGAACAACGTGTCTGTCCGAGTGTTGCTGCTGACAGTGTATCAGCATCTCTGGAAGGATTCCTAAAATACTGGGACCTGTTTGCCTCTGCAGAAGGGAACTGGGGACAAGGAAGAAATTTGCACTGGGCACACTTCTGCGCCTTCCAAATTTTGAAGAGTGAAAATGTCTTACTCATACTAACGTGCGTAAGTAAAGAAGAAAGTCACAGTAGGATTGCAAAAAGATAGCACCTTCTTTCTGGCACCTTCCATCCCAGGATTACAGAAAGACAAGTATGTACACCCCATTTCCTACCCCTGACCCCACCCCAGGCCTTGGCACATGTGGCTGCCCGGGTCTGCAAGTCCTTCCTCCTTGGCTGACCCCTGCTCATCTCCAGGACCCATCCCAGTTGACACCTCCTTCAGGAAGTCCTCACTGACCCTTCGCTGGTTAGCCACAGCTTTGTGCCCCCTGATCCTGTGCTCTCCCTCCCTGCTGCCCGCGGCCCATGCCATGCAGTCTCAATCGATCTGCACATCCGCCCACCCGGAGCCTGGAGGATGGGAACCAGGAATGAGACCCCTGCGACCCATCTCCCAGCCCTTCACCTGCCCCAGCAGTTGCCCAGGGAAGTGTCTGCTGAGCAGAACCTCTGCCACTCAAGCAAAATGCCTCCCAGGAGAGCAGGACAATGAATCAGGCAGCAGGGAGACACAGACTCACTGCCCTTAACGTTTTCTGCCGCTTGGCCACGGGCCAGGCCAACCCTCTCATCTGATTTAAAGCCCAGGTGGGGCCCTTTCACAGTCGTGGGGGAGGGGACGTGCATTACCTCGCTTGGGTGCGGGGCTTCCGCGCTGCAGAGCCTGGCCAGACGGTCCCATAGAAGGCCACCATTGTCGCTCGCTGACAGCCAGGCTGACAAATTGTTTTCTGCCGCAGCAGCCCGGGCTGGCCCATCTGGCTGCTCTCTGGAGGTCAGGTCACTCATGGTGGCCTTCTGGTGCGGGGGATGGCCTGACACCAGCTCCCGCATGCCGAGTTCCTGCCCAACCCCGCTCAGCCTCCCGAGCAGATACAGCCTCCACGCCCAGGGGCATCTGACCGGACTGAGGGGGTGGCCCTGTCCAAGGGCTGGGGTCTGTGGTTGAGGCGAAGAAAATGCCAGAGTCCTCCATCCGCCATCACAAAAGTGCCCCCAGGGGATCACGGCACGAAGCAATGACCCAGCTTGAGGTGACCCAAAGCGCCAGCCCCAGGCAGGAGCGCGTTGCTGGGTGAATAAGCGGTTTCTGGCTTTGGAACATGATTTATTACGGAATCACCATGTGAGGCTGCGAAGATCGCCTTGGCTTCCAGTTATGGGCTCCCCCAGCCACCTCTCCACCAAGGCCCCGTATCTGAGCCGAAGCAGGGGGTGGGGAGCACTCCAGGGTCAGGACACAGGGCACCCGAACCCGGAGATGGTTCACCCCTGGAGGGGGCGGCCTGGCAGGCATCCGGCTGGCTTAGCAGGGCGGAGCAGCTGGCTGGGCCCTCGCTTCACTGGTTAGATACTCTCTTCATCACATTCCCGATGCTCGAAGCTGATGGCGTTGCCCCAAAATAAAGGTGGGAAAGGCGCCAAAGGAGGAGGTCACACACCAGCGTTAGTGATTACTGGCGATCCATTTGTTTCTGTCACTGTGGTGTGGTCAGGTGTATAAGATGTCAACACTACGAGAAGCTAGGTGAAGGGTATGTGGGAACTCTCTGCACTTTTCAATGTAAAAGTAAAACTACATTAAAATAAAATCTTCACGCTTTGGCTGCTACCCTGAGAGTCCTAGGTTTCTTGTTCTGGTACCTCCCTGACCCTCAGTGACCAGAGCTTCCAGGAGGGAACAGCACTGGGAAGGTAACCCTGACCTTTGCCTCAAACCCCTCACCAGCCCCTTTCTAAAGACAGAGATGATGTCTCTGATTGAGACTGCGGACAGGATCTGAGCATATGTGGTCCAAGCTCCCGTGATTCTCTCGTTGGGTAGCCTGCCCTTGGGAGGGATGCGTTTTCCTTCTACCCCTGAGTCCTACACCCAGGTCAGGGCATGAGTCCTGTTCTCAGGGGCTTGCAGCTGGCTTGGCAAGGGGTTGCTCTGCACACTTCTTCAATGACACGCCCAAAGTTCAGTCTCATGACTCAGAGACTTGCACATGCTGTTCCCATTGACTGTGACACCCTTCTCTACCTCACCCTTGTGTTGAACACCTCAGTGGGCCTAGGGGCTCTCTCAGGGCTTCCCTCCTGAATGACCTTTATTCTCCGAAGCCAGGCAGAAAGGGCCCTTCCCTCTGTCTCACGTCTCATGGCACTCTTAACCATGGGCTGCACAGAGCTTTGTTTGTCCCTGTGTCCCATTGCCCTCTGAGCTCCCGGGGCGGGGAGTCACCCCCTCACCCTCCACATTATATTTCCTGGCATTTGTGGGATATCAACAAGTGTCTGTTGAATGATCGGGCTTATTAGAAAGTTCTGGTTGGTTTTAATGTTTTAAAATGTCAAATATATAATTACTTAAATTAAGCCTGTCTGTTAGTAGACAAAAATCTTCTAAAACATGGGGAAGGTCCCTGAGGGCAGGAACATAACAAAAGAGTTCTCTGCTGCTGGCAATGTTAGGAGCTATCGGACCAGTCCAGGGCTTCCCAACCCCAGCACTGTTGACATTGGGTTGGAAATCGCTGTTGTAGGATGCTGTCTTGTGCATCGTGGGATGTGTAACAGCATCCCTGGCCTCTGCCCACTAGAAGCCAGGAGCACTTCCCTGTTGGGACGACAAAAAATGTCTCTGGACCTTGCCAAATTTTTCCCTGCTTGGGAAAAATCATGCCCAGTGGAGAACCATCGGACCTGTCATTCAATAGGTTTTGGTACAGTAAATACTCTCTCTGCTGCCTTGACATTAGCCAAAGCCGAAGCCCTCAGAATGTACGAGCTCCTTCCAGCATTTCTCCCAAGCTCTGACAACCAACACGGATCCCCCCACCGCCCAAGCCAAAGGCAAAACCACTTGCCACTGAATGAGGGCTTTGATTGCTACCAATTTCTTAAAGCAGTGTCTGAAGGTTCTGCTTCAAATATTTATGGAGTCTACGAAATGGCCCCAGAGCATGAGAGGTTCTATTAAATTTATAACTCCAGTGGTGATTTATTGACCTGGGAATTGCTGCAAATGCTTTGTTGAAGCTCTTTGTGGAAAGCCAGGATCCTTGCAGGACTCAGGAGCTCAGAGGGTGGCGAGAGGCCATCAGCTCGGGGGATGGGACAGGACAGTCCACCTTCTTCTTGCAGGTGCTGTGTGGGGAGTGCTGGTTCTGAGGTGGCTTCAGCTGGGCACACTCCAGGAGCAGACGTCCACCCCGAGGGCAGGGGAAGCTGGAGGCAAGAGCAGAATGAAATGATCTCTGCTTCTACATGTTCATAAAAGCCCCCGATCCCACATTCGTCCAGGGAAGAGACGGCAATGATGAGGAATATGTATTGATCACTTTCCAGGCCTCCCACCAGGGCTCCCCCTGCATTGCTCATTTCCTTCTATGACAGTTCAACGAGGCACACAATGCCATCATGGTGCCGCGGGTGAGGAGCCAGGGCTGGGGGGTGGCTCCCACCACATCACCCAGCAGGTGTCTGCCAAGAGGGTTGCTGATGGCTGTCCCCACAGAGCAGGGGTCCGCTCTAAGGTTTCTTGTTCGCAGGGTCGAGAGATGGTGACTGTCCCATCAGAAGGAAATCGGCATCAACGGGATGCCAACCTCATGCCCAGCACTGCCCAAGGCTCTTCTCAACGAACTGGTTCACCCGTCTCCATGGAATCCTCCCGCCAGATGGCCATCAGGCCCGCACGACGGATGAGGAACCCGGTGCCTGTTTCACACACTCTAAATAGCTTACCTACATCTATGCCGCTCTGGCGAGACTAGCTCAATGCTCAAACCCAAGCCACCCAATCTCCTCAAGACCCCACTCTTCCTGGAGCTTCCCCAGCAGCTTCTATACGGTCTCAGCCCTTCATGCCCAGCATCCCCCGTTTATCATACGCCTTCCCTGCAAATGACAGGAAGGAAGGACCCCTGTGCTCAGCAGTGCAAGTGCTACTTCCATCCCTGCTCAGTGCCCTGGCTGACAGACTAGCGGTCTGTGCCTCAGTGGTCAGACAGGTGGAATGGCGCACACTTCTCCGGCGACCCCAGGGGGGCAATGACCGTGCGCAATGGTGCACGCTCAGCACCCTCTCAGTGCCAGCAGTGGACGATGGCTGAGAAAGGCAGAGCGCGAAAGGAGAGGGGGTGAGGGTCGCCGAGCACCGCCCTGCGGGCCCTGCCTGGACCAGCCCCTCCCCCAGGGTGCTCCCCACCCAGCGGTACAGGCAGACAGACACATGTACAGCAATGCTGCAGAGATGGAGCCGGAAGAGAGGCCCATGCAGCCGCCGGGGAGCACCCAGGAGGGAAGCACCCACTGCACACTGAGGAGTAGGAAGGCCTCCTGGAGGAGGCGGTGTCTGAGCCAGACTTTGGGGAAGGAGCGGGATTCTGCGGTGTTAAAAACTGAAGGTCATTCCATGTAGAGTAATGTACGCACTGAATGCAAACAGCGACTTAAGGAACCTGGACTTATCCTAATAAGAATAGTTTAAACCTTAGGAAACCACAGATTTTGTAGGACGGGGGCGTATTTCATATGGTTCAACCCACGATGGTGAACATTCATTGAGCTCCTGTGATGGGCCAGGTATCATGCTAAGCAATGTATGCATATTGATTCATTCAGTCTTGAACCCAAAGAGGTAACTAGTATTATTATCCTATTACACAGATGAAGAAACAGAGGGCCAGAGAGGTTAAGTGACTTGCCTATGGCCACACAGCCAATAGGAGGCAAAGTCAGGATGTGAGCCCAGGCCACAGGACCCCCGAGCCCGCACTGTTCACCATTACAGTCTGCTGTTAAACACAGGATGGATGAGGGGTCTTCGGTGACCCAGTGACAGGATCAGGGTAATGTGACATAGGGACAAATATTTCTTCAATCACCAAAGGTTTACCAGCCTTTTCAGGATATTTTTGTGTATTTTCAGGCTCCCTTCGGGTTTTTTTTTTTTTTTTTTTTGTGGTCTAAGCTCAACCATAAAATAATAGAATTGCGACATGTGACAAATTTAGTTACTGTCCTTCAAAAATGACCTCATTTTGCTGACGGGTCACTGATCCCCTGGTGCAATTACTTAACAAACTCATTTTCCCCGTAGGAAGCTGTTGCCCCGAGCCAGCCTGGATCCATGGCTTGCAATCTGTTTTTCTGCAAGGCAGAGGGCTCTGTTCCTCAATGTCCTTTACGACTGAGCAAAAGCACAACTGAGCAGGGGAGTGACAGTGCTGTGCTGGGGGGTGAGAGCGAAGTGCCCATGTGACCCTCTAGAGAAAGAGCCCACCAGCCTCTCTCTAATTACTCAGGAAGGCCCCCCACAGCCAAGTGCTGGGTGAAGCATGGAAACAGAAATGTCGACATTGACATTCCCTCATCTTGCTGCAAAGGCCCAAAAACGTCCTGTGGGCTGGAAATTCTGCCCAACAAAGGAAGGGTTTTCATCCAGTGGCATCCTACAGGCGTGGTGATGACTTTGGAGAAAGTTAAAGAATAATGGAGAAACCTGGGACCATATGAGTGTTAGGGTGCACTTTTGGTTCATTCATTCATGCAAGTTCTGCTCCGACCACGTCCTTGAGACAGAAGCTGTCGTTTTCTGGCCAGCACCACTTAGAGCACACCTTTGAGGGTTTTTTTCTCACACTGAATTCCAGACTGGGCTGCACTGGAGGTAGGAGGGACTGCTCCCATCCCCCCAGGGAAGGCCCCACTCGATCTGTCCACACCAGCTTCAGAGCCAGGCTGCCTGGGCTGGACCCCGGCGCTGCTGCTTACTAACTGTGTACCCCCTCTGCTCCTCACCTTCTTTCATAGGGAAAGGGGGTTAATGCTGATTCCTATTTTGTAGGCCCCTCATGAGGACTGGAAAAGCCAGTGCATTGTACATAGTAAGCAAGCATTGAAGAAGCGGGAGTGGGGGTTTTCTTTCCCATTGCTGTTCTCATCCACACCATCACTGGGATCTCCTAGACTCCTCTGTACACTTTCTCAGGTTGTGCCATAGCCACGTTTAACGGCTCGCAGCTCCCCCAACCCCTGAGGAGCACTCACCCCTCTGTCTTGACGGGCATTGTTCCCTTTGTTGAGAATACCTCCCACCTGCTTGTGATAAGCCAGGCCAAAGATTAAAAGTCAGAGGTAATTTTCCTAGAAAGAGACCAGAGCTGGAAAGAAAGTTCTCATTCCTAGGCAATAAACCTGTAGACGAGGAATTTAAAATGAAAGTCACCAGTCAGGGGGGAAAAAAAGGTTTAAGAAGGTCAATAGCGATAGCTAACATTTATTGAATGTGTGTCTCTTGCACCCGGCAGAATAGTAAGCACATTATGATTCCACTGAACTGTCTCAACAATTCCAAGAGGTAAATATTGTCCTCAGGTTTTATTTTTTTAAAGGTTTTACTTATTTGAGAGAGAGAAAGCACAAGTTGGGGGGAGGGGCAGAAGGAGAGAGAGACAGAAGCAGGCTCCCTGCTCAGCAGGGAGCCTGACGTGGGGCTCGACCCTGGGACCCTGAGATCATGACCTAAGCCAAAGGCAGACGCTTCACTGACTGAGCCACCCAGGTGCCCCTCTCTCCAGCTTTTAGATAAAAAATTAATATAATCATGGAGGCAGGAGAGAAGCCCCAGGAATGGCCAGTAGAAGGAAACAAATAAAGTGCTAAGAATAAGATCAGTTGCCTCCTGAGTCATGGCTGCTTTTTTTTTTTTTTCCTCTTCAGCATCTCTCTTGTTCAGACACACATTCTGCCCTGCTTCCCTGATTTTGTGCTCATACTAGCAGTAGGCGGTATTAGCCCCATGTCACAGACGAGGAGGCGGAAACACAGACACGTTAAGTAATCTGCCCACCATCACACCAAACTACAGCTCGGATTTGAACTCAGGCCTATCAGAGTCCACACCTCATAAGTAAAATATATTTTCTCTGGGAAAAGAGAAGGCTGCTTGGGCTGCATCTGATTAGGACATTTTGGACCAAACCTCCAGTAAGTACCAGAAAAGCTGGACAGAACATAACACAGCATCTATTTAAACCATCCAAGAGCTACCAATATGGTCAGGATCTGAGGGACTTAAATGGAAAACAGGAGACAAGCCGGAGTAGCTTGCATGGCTGTGGAGACCGTATTTCCCTCGAGGTGAGGGCAGAGCTGGTGGTGGCTGAGAGGCAGAAGGCTAAGCAGAGCTTCTGAGAGCCTCATGGGACCGACAAGGGCCACAGACAAAAGATGCTAATAAACACTACAGGCTTCTGGTCGGGACCCCAAAAGGCTGTGCCCAAGGAGTAAGAGTGAACAGGAAGGAAAGCAGACCTCTCAAGTACTGAAACTCATCTCTGAACCAGCTGTGACATGAGGAATTGTCTCTGTCCTGGCCTCATCACCTGTCACAAGCAAAAGGAAGCCCATTCTGGATGAAGACATTATCAACCTCAAATGATGTCTTCAAGTTTTCACACATGATGTCCAGCTCTCGATGAAAAATAACCAGACACAGAACACACGACTTGACCAAACCCACAAATTAAAAAAAGGATAACAGACAGAGACCAGGAGGGGAAACCAAGGGGTCTGTCTCTGTGGGGCTGGGCATTTCCCAGTTCTCAACCTGGTGATGGTTTTCTGGGCATTACTCCATGATAATTTGTTGATCCGTACACTTAAAAGTTAGGTCCCTTTCCGTATGTGTGTTACACTTTTAATAAAAAAAAAGCTGATCTAAGAAATTACATGACTGGTGGCCTCTTACCTTCAGAGAATGCAGTCGAGCCGTCTGTGCTGGCCATTCAGCCTCGGGAAGAGGCCAGGACTCTGAATGCAAAGGTCTTTGGATGATGATACTGTCCATTTTGGGATTCAGGAGGTATTTCTGAGCTAGAAGAGAGTATTCTCAGTCAAGCCTCAACCCAGAAATCTATTCTAAAAATCAACAAGGCTCTGAGCCTTGGAATAACTTTTTCCAGTCTCTGTTATTCCGAGATCCCCACATCCCATGACAGAGGCCCTCTCGGGTATCCTCGAACTCTCCAGTGCTTCATTCATACCCCTCTGATGGTCCTGCTATGGTCATGGTTATCCTAGAAAACTGCCTGCCTGCCTCACCTTTCCTTCCCCAGCTGCCAGCTCATTCAATACAGGAACCACCACCTCTGCAAGCCGACCCATCTTTGTAAACCCTGAAACACCTACAGGGGATCTGGTACACAGCAGTTTTCCAGAAATGTTGACTGTACAAATAACTCAATCAATCTAGCACATTTCCTTCTTTTAAAGGTGTGGAAGCTGAGCCCAGAGAAGGAAGGACACTGGCACAAATTATTGGCAGATGCAGGACCAAGTGGAATTATGCCCTTCCAACCGTGAAAACGGATGCTCACCCAGACTGCAAGGATAGGAGAGGAAGGTACAAGAGGACAGGTCCAGCCTGGCC